TCCTTCTACTGTGGCCAAGTCTCTTTCCAGTGCTGACAGCTTTCAAAAGAAAAATGCAAAGAATTGCGTTACAAACCCCAGGAATGTTGTATGAAGTCCCAGGACTACCACAGGCATGTGAGACAGCCCTGCAGCATCCACTCACACCAGCCATGGGGCAGTCCCAGGAGTTTGGCACTCTTCACGTGTTACATGCCATGACTAGTTTCTGCACAGTACCTGCAGCTTCAGGCATTGCACCTAAAATTGTACAAGTTACTAACTGCTGACAAATTCAAATTGACAGTAATTATATGAAGTTTGCAGAAGTGCAAATGAGACCTCAAAATTCCAGGAAATGGAAAATCAGAAAGTCTGTGACAGAGTTGAGACAAGATTCCAGGTGTTCAGCATTACTGTGCCATTCACTCTTTGTTCCAGGCACATCCTGTTCTACGGGCTGGGTATGTGTGATTGCACTACAGAAAGAGACAAGATCTATGGGGAGTTCATTATCTCCAGAATGGACTCTGCAGCCACAGGCCTTGGCAGGAGGGAATGTCTGGAACTGGCAGGAATGCTGTGTTCTGTTGAAATAAACAGGCAATTACAGAATAGACCTAAACATAAAAGTTGAAGTGGAGCTGAAATATCCCAGACAAGTAATAATAAATCATCTTTCTTATACAGCTGTGCCATTTGCCCAGGCAGTGTTTCAAAGGAAGGGGGATTGTCAATGTTGCACACATCGAGAAGTGACAGCACTTAGCCCACAGGTGTTTCAGATGGAAGATGTTGATGCACCGCCCCACAGGGAGGGATAACATGGAACTAAAGTGCTCCCTCTTCTTCATTGCTCCAGGTGCTGTATATAAAAATGGTGTGAAATGGAGAAAACCAACTCAGGAACACTCTTGTGTTATATTTTTGTTATATACGAGTCCAAAATTTTCAGCTCCTCATCTTTGATGTTTTATGTGGAGTTTCCATCCTCTTAAGGCAGGAAGATTTATTTTACACTGAAATGGTCAAAGACCTGGAAAAAACCTGTGACCACCAAACCCTATAAAACTGAGAGTCATCAGTGACTTTTTGAAATAGCCACACACATAGAAAACTCCTGCACATGCATTCCAGACAGTTTTGAAGTTCATTATGTTTGACAGCCTGAGCCCTGGACTGTGAACCTTCAGAGACAGTTAAAAAAAAAGTGAGAGGACGCCGATACCAGCAGAGGGGGATAGTGGCTCTCCAAAAAGGAAATTCTGAGATCAGAGGTCAATATCTTTACCATTTGCTCTCTCTCCTCTATGAATGTCATTATGGTGTTTGAACTGCTTTCTCTCTCACTCTCATCTGGACTTCTAGAAGAAATGGAGCACTGCAAGTTTCTAATGCCTAAGGCTTTTATTTTTCTCTTAATTCCTCAGTAGAAATATTCTCTATTCCTGCATTCCACACCTGGGCTTCCTGTGCATGAAGGAGTATCTGGAAATGCTAAATGGTAAAACTCAATCACCTGGTTCAATTTTTACTGAGATCTAAAGAGAAATTTTGTTGCTGCCCAACCAGCAGGAAACAGTGGTCTGGCTTCATCTCCACCAGGTCAACTTGCGAGTGGATGCTGTTATTGTAATATGAAAGCTGCCAAATTGCTTCACAGCTGGTCATTGAAAAAACAGAAGAGTAGTAAAAATTAGAAGAAAACTTGCAGGAATGTGATAGATACTGCACATTCTGAAATGTAGTGAACTCTGGACAAAATTTCTTTATGATCCACTCCTGACCAGCCATTTCATTCACTTTCCTCTGGAAAGTTGTGGCACTGTAAGGAAACAAGATGGGAATTTGCATCCCTGGCTCTCACTAGATCCTTGGCAGAGAATGGAGGCCAAAATTTCTTTGCTCTGCACACAGTGGCAGGTACCTCAATGTGTAACCATTGTGAAGGTTCTCGAAGTCTTGAGCCCAGCAGGATTTACAAAATAAGTTGGCTTTGGCTGCCTTTGTGAGGTTTTATGTGTGAGGAGGAGCCTGAGAGGGTGCCAAGCTAGAAAAGGAACAGGAAAATGACAGAGCAGTAACAAACACTCAGGAAAGCATCCAACAGATGTGAGCGACAAGCATGTATTGTGATACCAGGTCACAGTACCCATCAAATGGATTGAAATGTGGGAAAACTGAGGATCATCTGACACTGCAGTTTGTTCAAAACCCTGTAAATATAAATAAACACTCTATCTGCAAACAGAGCAAACACAGGCTGCATAGCAGCTGTGGTCAGGGTGCCTCAGTCTGTTTCTGAGATTCCCCAGAGCCTCCAGAGCAGTTAGAGTGCAATTTTAGCCCCTTAGGCATTCAGTGCTTGGTCTGTGCTAGGAGAGCTTTATTGCTATCGGGGTGCCTTCTGTGCTTTGGATAATAGAAAACATAAAAAATTAAATGTGAAAGTGTTGTGGTACTGCAAGCACAGAGTGTCTAGTCAGGAAAGAGCTGTGAATCAACCTTCCCATCTATGTGAGCAAACCTGCTGCATTTGTGAGTCACGCTGTCGCTGTAAAGACTGTGCCATCCGCTTCTGTGCCTTCAAAAGCAGCTGTCCATCCTCCTGGAGTGCATGAGTGGTGCGCAGCTCTTGGATCAGATCCAGGTGCCTCTCCTTCCCTTCAAATATCTTTAAAATAAAGGTGAACAACTGAGCATATTAAATGGAGACTATAGAGCAACGTGTTTTTGCCAGCAAAACACACCCTTTTTCTTCAAGTTGCAAGGTCAGCTGTTACCAAGACCTAGTTCTATGTAACAAATTTGTGGTTGCATTTAGGCAAACCCTACAGCTGTCAGTTAAATATGCTATGTGTTATTTATTTATTTATTTATTTATTTATTTATTATTAATATTATGTTTGGCTTTACCAAACTCAAACCACTGGAATGTGGAACACCACCACCTATGTCAAAAGGGTAATAGTCTTCTTCATATCCTGTTATATCAGCCTCAATGTCAAAGCTTCACAGTATTCCAACGTCTCATGTCCTCTGACCTTCATTTTGAGGGAGCCCAAAGCCAGCAACAGCCCAAAGCCATAAACTGGTGGGGAGCTTCCCAAAGCTGCTGCCATCCCTGTTATGGGGTTATGTGGCCCAGCCCTCCCTGACACTGTTTTACTCTTAATCCCATTCTCTTCCAACAGGACTTCCAAGAGCAACAAAAGATCACTCAACCCTGCATGTGCCATTCTCCAACTCAGTAATGTATTTCTGATCCAGCAGTAGCTGGAAGAAGATTCCTAAAATGGTGGGACACTTCATGCTCTGAACATCAACAATCCTTCAGTGGCCTCAACCATCCTTCTCACAGATCATCACACAGCTGGAGAACACTTGGGAATTCTATATTCCATCTCAAGCCACTTTCACAATATTGTATTGATTGCTAAAGCTCAGGGTCCTGCACGGGAACACTTCAAAATATTAAATAGTTACTGCAAGAGAGAGTATCAATTGTACTTTTTGTGGACATGAAAACAAACCTTCAGGTTGTCTGATCATGAGTGACATATTTGCTTAATATAAAGTCCACGGGGCATGGCTACTGAATTAATTTTTTAGTTAGACCCCCTTCTGTTCCCCTGAAAGCAGAATGATGGGTTCTGCACATCATGGTGGTAGGCTTCAGTTGCTCCTCATCTGGGGTCCAGCTCACCACCAGTGGAAACCAAAAAGATGGTATGAAATACAGGCAGCCCTGCTGGGATGTGGGAGGTTTCTTGTGCCTGGGACCTTGGCATAATCATAGCAGAATGTACTCATGGTCCAGATCCAGCCTAAAATTTGCCATTTGAGTAATTCTGCTGTGAAGAGCCTCACTACCCCTGATTAGTGCTGTGGAAGAAAGATTGCAAACACCCTTTGCAATCAGTCATTCCCACCATCATTCTGAAGACTGACATAAACAAAGAGACAGAATACCATGTTCTGAAGAGCCCTGCCTCGGAGCAGCTTCTGCAGACAGATCACTGCCAGGTCTATTTCCTCTTCCTCCTGCCAAAACATAACAAATATCCACACAATAATTAATTATTTCTTTAGAGACCGGGATTTCTGTAGATTATCTGTCTAACTGTTAAACAGTCTAACTCATATCCTGCCTTTTCTTGGTTGTTTCTGAACATCATTCTTCTAATTTCTCGGGAAAGGAAGGATAGTCAGAATAACATGTATTTTCATGTTTTACAAGGGATGGGGAAGAAAGGTTGTATATTTAGATTCTATTTGAAATTTTAGAGGGTCTTTAGAGATGAGAACTTAATGATAAGGAGAAAATTGCTGTATGCATTTTAAGTACCATTGTAGCTTGACTGAATATAAGTTTGCAAAAAACCCATCAGCTACATTAATTTAACGGGTTGAGACACTAAGAGGACAGAATATGTCCAAGAGAGCTGCTAACCATAAAAAAGGGTTTTAAATTAAAAGGGAACATTTACAGTTTTTCTTTTGATATTTATTCCAGTGGTGATCTTTATCAGAGTAACTCAGTAAATTTAAGACTCAGAAAGTGATAGTTTGGAGGCAAAATTAACCACAGTCCATTGTGATTTGTCTCTTTGAGAACTTTAGTGTTGTGTGATTGAAACCAGCTTGGAAGAATGCTGGAGCATGGTGGGAAAGGGAAAATGACCACAGGAGGTAAAAAAAAAGGGCTAATTTTAATTAGAGGAAGTAGACAAAGCACAGATGGCAGCATTTTTCCTAGGTGAGGGGTTTTCTAGTTTGGAGTTGACAGTAGAAAAATGAAAAAGTTCATTGGGTGCCTGGGAAAGATAGAAATCTTAAAATTGGAAGCACATTTTTGTAAATAAAGAACCTATGAGGTCTGCATTGACATGTGGTATTTAAGAAGTGCTGGAAAAACAGGGAAGAGTGTGGGATGAGAGAAGTTGTGTGGGCTTGAATCTCAGTTATCTGTTTTTTCTTAGGTATTGAAGAATAAGTTTTCCAAATGCAAAAGGAAGCATTCCTGCCTTTCCACACCAGCACCCAGGAGGAGCAAAGCTAAACTAGTAAGCGGACTTGTGATTTGGAATGTTCTTCTTCTCTGGAAAGAAGGAATGGATTTCCAGTCCTAGAGAGCTAAACTCTACCACATCGCCTGGCTACAGTGTGAAATCCCTTCAGGACAGTTTTGGAGATGGTGATGGCACACATACTGGTAAGCCAAACTGCTTGGTGTGATATTAACTAAGATTAGGTTTGAATTTTTATGAGGAGCATTTTTCTGTACTTCTGTTTTTCAATGCTGCAAATGATGCCTTAGCAAGTGTAATCATCAGCTTGTCCATCTGCCTGCTACAGACCAGCAGGAAAGAATGAGGGGAGATGAAAAGCCTATCATGCCCTGCAGGGAAAAAAAAAAAAAAAAGTATATAGAAAGATCTAGGAGATGGCTGCAAACTAGAGGAGGCTGGAAAAAAGTTACAAAGTACTGAAGGAATTCAGAGGTGCTCTGTGAGCTTGTTGTGGGCTATTAAGTCCATTAGAAATGACCAGGGGAGAGAAGCTGAGGATGCTTGAGTAGTGCTTTTATTCTCTCCACTTTTTCCTGGCACAGTTTCTTTCCAAGATCCTCAGTTCCAGTGGGAAGCATTTAGCAGTTGGTACTCATGGGTGTGTGGCAGGAAGAGAAGAATTAACAACAGAGAAGAGCCTTGTTTTCACTGCTCCTCACAGCCACCTGGTAGGAGAAACCTTACTTGGATTTGGCAAGGCAGGAGATGTTAGTGCTGCTCTTCAGTGGCTCAAGTGGCCTGATTTTACAGATGGAGCTCCACTGGAGAGTTCCACCTTTTATGTGTTTACACATAAAGATTCATGAAAATTAACTAAATGTTGACAAAATTCATGAAGATGGAATTCTATTGTATTGGAATTTTTTAAAAAATGCCCAACTATAATCTGTGAACACACTCAAGGATGACTACAAGTGGTAGACATTTTTTCTGATTTCTTTACATATTACCTCAAAAATATTTAAAAATCTGCCAAACTGGTAAACCTAAACACTGTAAACCCACCACTGCAATACAGTATCTAATGCTTTGAAGTAGGTAAAGCTGTGGACAGCTCTCCCCAAGGAGATAAGAAATTCTTGTTCCAGTCATCTTAAAATAGACTGCATAAAACATAGAATATCGTACTGCACAAAGGAACACAGCAGCACAGATGATTTAGTAAGACTTTCTCTCTTCACTTTCATGGTTGTGTGATTCTTAAATTCACCAACTTTAAATGATAATTCTGTCTAATTCTTAGTGCATCATGAAAATGGTGTTAGTAAGAAGACAAACAGTCCACTGGGGCAACCAGCTCTCAAGTATGTTACTTTAAGAAAGGAAAAGAAGTTGCAGCTCCCCTAAAAAGTAATTTTTTCCCACAGCATATCACAGCCCCCATGACACATCATTACTGCTGTTTCAATCTCTGCAGGAGAATCATTATCTGTGAACTGGTGCATGATCATCAAACACTGTATCCTGCATGATGACAAGAGCTTCACTCCAGAAAATTAATGAAGTGCACGCTCAGTGCTAAGCATCCAATGTCTCTCTGACTTCAATAAGTCTAAACTTAATTGCCTCACTGGATTATGATAGTGTTGTCAGATCAGAAGATTGGAAGCTACTGAATAATAATGATAATAATAATGATAATAATAATAATAATAATGAAGATGATGATGCCTTTTTGTCCCCCAAGAACCAGGAAATAACATGTCTCCTAACTTTTGTCTTCATAAAATAAAGTTTACTTCAAGATTTGGCTAACAGATACTGTAAATGATTTTCAAATCCTTGGCTGATAGTATCCTTGTAGAATGAGACTAAGAGGGCTTTAAGAAATAATGGCTATTTTTACATGGATGCTCACAAAAAGGATAAAGGTCCCTTCTTTCATTCCCTGGCTTTCCTTTAACAACTGTGTAGGAAACAATCAGGGATCAACAGGGAAAAAAGTGCTAAAACCAGCTCACTTACAATTGATGTTTTTTCCAGGATTAGAGTGGGTGGCTTAGGAACAGGGCTTTCTACTTTTTTACAGACAGGGGGAGGCTTCTTTGGCTCTTTGGCTTTATTCTTCTTCTCCAGTAGTTCCTGCAAAAGACATCCAATTTAATAAGAACATGAGTAGATAGAACAACGTAAGGCCAGTTCTCTATATGCTGACTGTTGCTGACCACACTGACTACAGGGAGCTGAAAGCTTTGCAGGCTTGAGGCTTCTATTTCTTACTGCAGATCAACTGAAAAACTGAGTATGGTTAGTAGATGAGGTTACTGGTTGGTCAGAAGATATTGATGGGAATGTCAAAGTCATATGTAAGAAGAAAGCAGGAGTTATTATGCTGTATTTACCAATAAGTCATCAGCACTTGTGAGTCACCTAAAATTAATCTAAAATGAGTATGAACTTCATCTCTAATTCTCAAATAATTAATTTTCTAATAATGCTATAACTCTTTGCCTTTAACAATAGGTAATGCTTGTTACTGTGGTTTAGACATATTATGTAGTTGGGAGATTTTATGAAGGGGTCACTTGAAGAGGGTATTGTCACTGTTCTGTGATAGTGAAATGTCTTTCTATAATAAGCTATTCTGCACAAGATTGAACCAGATGACCCCTTCCTAGCAAAATATGCTTTGGAACTCTGCTTTGCTCATCTACAACTGCCCAGCAGCCCTGTGGCACCCACAACAATTGTACAGGTGGACTGGGAGCAAAAGAGAAACTGTTTTGTCCAGAAACTTCCTTCTACCAAGAAAATGCAAAAGGCCATCCAATTTCCCACCACCAGCACCTTAGAACTAGATATTCAGATAAGCATTTCCAACTGCATGACAATGCCTGCCTGCTGCAGGACATGACACTTTGGCTTGCACAGAAAGGGAAGGGTGTATAGCCATTTAAAGCTTCTTCAAAACGATAATCTTACTACTGTATGGGTTGGATCTTTAGTCTTATTATTGAAAGATCATATTTTGGTGAGGGAAAGTGTGCCTTCTCCTTTTTTCACTCTCTCTCTTTCAAATGTTCAAATACAGTATTTCACCAGGGAGGGAAATCAAAAGAAAAACTTTAGAAAAAAGTTCAATGCTGAATTTAGCTCTCCAGTACCAGGAAAGTGATGGCATTTGCACAGAATTGTGAAATTAATGAAGTTTTGAAACTCCAGTAGTCATTGTACAAAAATTCTTCTTGCATGTAGGATCTGATCTTTCAGGTCAGGATAATGAATTGCTCCAGAAAAGGAGAGGTTTCTAGGCAGAGGATATAAAATACTTTACTACTGAAAGCTTCTTAAATTGTCCATGTTAATAAAGGAAGAATCAGAGCCTATAAACTGCTTTTCAGCCATGTGAAATAGTTATAGCTCAAAAATGTTGAGAGATTTTCTGAACTGCGTTTCGTATATGAAGACCTTAGAGCTTCCTAGCATGAAGATTATAACAGTGATTTATAAGGAGATTTGCATGGCAGGGCAAGGGAAGCAGAAAGAAAAAGCTGCTGTAGTTGTGACTCTCTTGAAAACAATGGCCACTATGTTTATTAGTACAATCTCGCATTCATAAGAATTTTCCTAATAAAACTGTGGCCTCCAAAAATGTTTCCTGCTAACCAGAACAACAAAATATAACCAAACTAACAACTTTTAAAGACAGAAAAATCTATTAATAATTTGGGCAAGCGGGAATCCTTATTAATGTATATTTGAGATATACTGCAGTACCTAGAAGTGGCTTTATGTTTTCATGTCAACACGATCTAGTGCCTGCTTGACTATCTTTACTAAAAAAAAAAAAAAAACAACAAAAAACAAAGAAACCCCTTACAATTTGCTTTCTCTATTCTGATGTTTTAAATGATTTTAAGATTTTAACATGAGAAAAGAAAAAGAAAATATAGGGGTTTTGCCTAAACTGGTTCTGCCCAATTCAAGAAGTTCTCATTTTTGGAAACAGAGACACCAGGACTCAAGAATCAATACAAAAATACTTGATTTTAAAAGTGCTAACCTTCTAAGCAACATACACCAAATGTTATTGTCTACATATCATACTCCCATTTTCCTGATACAGACTACATTCCTTTATTCACGTAGCAGGTTCAGAGTCAAGGTAGGATCTGCCTGGATTGGACAGTGAAAGCACAAAAGTAATCTCTTTTCCATTCTCCTGGCAAACGCAGTGAACAGTTAATGGTACTCATGCTTTTCATCATACACCTTGGCTTCTCAGCCAGCTTCTGAGAGAAGCAGAACTCTTGACAGGATGATAACAGCTTAAGAAGCAACTCTCCATTCAAAGAAATAATTCAATCCATTCCTTAGATTCCTGCATTGTCTTCTCTGTGATCTTCTCCATCCCACAAGATCCTAGGTATATTTGACTTTTGTGTACAGCACAAAGTATGCAGTCATGGTTATCCTTCCTTTTTGCTCACAAATGATAATTGTGGGATTACAGAATCACAGAATCAATGAGGCTGGAAAATATCTCTGAGAACATTGAGTTGAACCCATGACTGAACACCACCATGGCAACCAGACCATGGCACTAAGTCTGTCTTTTTTTTCATGTCCAGTCTTTCTTTAAACACCTCCAGGGACCATGACTTCCTAAGAAGCCCATTCCAATATCTAATTTGTGAAGAAATTCTACCTAATCCCAATCTAAACCTCCCCTGGTGCAGTTTAAGACTATGCCTTCTTGTCCTGTCACTGGTTGCCTGGGAGAAGTGGCCAAGCTCCACCTGGCTACAGCCTCCTTTCAGGTAGGATCACTGAGGACAGGCTGCCAACCTGTTTAGCAGTGCAGCATGGCTGCTGCATCAAGACTGATATAAAAGCTCTCAGAGTTTGTCTGACCATGAGCCAACTAACACTGTGAGGAGATCTGTTCTTAAGAAATAACTGCTTAAACAGCCTTTCCCATGCTTTGAAGTTGGCAGAGATTTTCTCCAGAGAAATTCTTGGCCCCTCTACTTCTCTAGCTCTTTCCAGCAACTGGATAAAGGAAACAGATGTGGTGAGAATTGCCTTAATGCTGAGGTGAGAAGTTTCTGGTTCTGACCTCATCTTGATCCAACACTTTGAAACCACCTGATGCTTTATCCTTCTTGAGTCACTAGGGCATAGAGGGTCTGCCTAAAGTCATGTATTGTTCTGCACTGGGATATCTTCTACCACCTCCTCCACTCCTTGGTGTATTCACTTACCTAGTTGCATTTACTCCCTGCAGTAGTTATCTGTATTGGGATGTTATGTCCATAATGCCTTGGATTTTCATACTAGGGTGTCTATATAATGGTTCCTTAAAGCACTGTTAGCTGTGCTGGCTAGGAACTATCTGTCCTTTTACTGATCTGGCTTAAGATAAAGATTCTTTTTTACTGTAAATCACTTCTTGGGTCACTCCTGTTTCTGCCATGTTCTCTTATTTTAGAGAATTATTCAAAGACTACTGAGTGTATATAATACTTCTGCAAAAGGTTTCAGGATGGTCCTAAAAAAAGTTTGCTTCTATAATCACTTCTTTTTGGCTTAGTTTCATGTCTGAAAGAAGCAGCTCTCATTCTTAGGAGGACACAGATCCTTGGATTATTGCTTATCCCTTCTAAAAAGCTTAGGAATACCCTCAATATGGCTAACAAAAAGGAATATAATGAGGAGAACTTATCCATCTTCCCTCGTGTTTGGCCAGAGAAGTAAGCCTTGGCAACTTTATTAAAACTAATTACTTCTCAGGCCAATATCTAGCATTCCTCCTATATTTGTCACTTGCTTCTAAATAATCCAGGAAAAATTTTAAAAACTCATTGTAGAGCTAGGTCTCCATGTACTCCCTAAATTTTCTAGGATTACATTTTATTTCTAGGATTATGGGAGAGACTTTATGGATTAAGTGTGCTAGGAGAGCATTAAAAGAAAGCTCTAGAATAGAAAACTGATCTGGCTACTCAGCTATAGAAATAAGGCAAAGCAACACAGTGCCCTTGTAAGATGATCCCTAATTACTGCTTTAAACTTCTTTTCTACTGTGTGTGATAGGAGGCTTGTTAGCACAATTGAGACTGCTTATTTCAACTGGTCAGAGAACTCCTCTCAGGGAGGATTGTCCTAAATTCTATTAATGCAACTACTCAGCGTGCTTTACTGCTCTGTTTTTGACAGCTCTGACAGCATTTGAGGTGGACTTGTCAGCAAGGCTCTGCTAAGCCAGAACAAGCTATAGCCACTGAACTTCAGAACCAAAAGCCTCTGATGGGAGAAGTGACCAGGAACAGCACCATAGAGCTCAAGAGCTAATTAGGGCAGTCATTTCTTGATTCTTTGAACAGAAAGATTGTTTAAATGTAACAGTGGAGGCAGTCTGGCTGTTTCACAGTGTCAGTACTTTCTGCTTGTCTGGACCAACCAGTCTGGTGTCTTTTTCTGTATATCTTACAGCAGCAGTTAATTTTTGCATAATGGATTTATTTTATCATTTTTGCCTGCAAAGGAAATGGTTTGTGACTTTAAAAGAATATACATTTGGCATTTTTGTGGTGGGGAAATTACTTATTTAGCCTCTCAGTTGCTATAAATCAATGCAGACCGAGTGATTGACATTGATTTAAGAAAGAAACTGTGCAGAATTGTCTGCATTTGTTCTGCATTCCATCTTCCTTTGTCCACCAGTTTTTCTTTGAAGAGATATTACTGTCTGAGCAGCCAGCATTTGGCTGCTCACACTTCTCTGTAGTTACAGTTTAGACATTTCACCACAGTCTTTCAAACCATGAGGAATATTTTAAACAAACAGAATACACGTGCTATAACTGGAATTCAGCTCCAAAAGCTTGGACTAACATTCTGCTGACAATGAGAACTATGTTATGATGCAGATTACACAATTACTTCTTGAATTTTATGCAAACCCACCCAAACTCAAACCCCTTCAACACTTCTATGTCTTTAAAACTATGAGTTTTGTCCTTACTCTTGAACAATTCCTGTAGCACTCAAGATTTTCTTTGAAAAGTTTCTTTCTGGATAATAGTGAAATGCAATACTTCATCTTTACAAGATCCAGCAGAATTTAAAATTGAGATAATATGATTGATTTTTCAGAGCAAGATTTCAATTTAAAATTCAGCAATAGCAGGTTACTGTCTGCTTTGAAATTATTATTACATTACTCTAAAACAAAAGAGGTATATATACATACATACATATATAATATATCTAAATGAAAGTGAAACTTACCAAGCTTTACAAATTAGAGTCACTATTTTCCAAAGATATAGCAGCCAGACAAGAATATTCCTGATTTTCCATGAAGGTAACCCTCAACAGCATCACAAGAAGTGAACTTAAAAGTACATGTAATTTACAAATATTGTGATTGCAGGTGCAAATGAGGCACTTCTTTCTTTGGCGGTTAATTACATATATGGACACCTCATCTGCATGAACAGTTGTGATAAATTAAGATAAGAAAAACGCATTAGCATGTTTGAAAATCAGATGCTGTTCTTAGGGAACAACAGTGATATGCATCCACCATGGTGACCTGATTTTATGAGTGGGGTCATTTTAGTCATGCTTTGCTACAGATGTTTTTACAATATGTACCTAAAATATACTTTTAAAATAATGTACAAAATTTTTAGAATATGAACCCAGATTCACTTTTTTTAATTATTGGAAGCTTGACAGTGTAGCCAGTAGGGTATTATAAAATGGAGCAATGAGAATGAGAAAAGGGTGAGAATTTCAAATTGGCATAATATGTTCCAAGCCAAATACCTGATCTGTAGAAAGACAGATTTGTTTGTGCTTGCTGTCTATAGGACTGGAGCAAAAGCAGGAGTGAGAGTACTGATGGGTTGAGTATTAGAGCAGCGCTGGTCAAGCCTGCAACAGTCTGCATGATTGATTCATTCTGTCCTAGAAGCTGTTTTACAGAATAAGAATTCAGGAAATTGCAAAGAAGTTTACACATCTTCCCAATTGCATTTATGAGCAGTACAAATCTAAGAGGAACTGACTTGCTGCTGGATGCAGCTTCATACCTGGTGAACTTGTGCCACGACTACCTCTAGTCTTCCTGACCTTTTAACATAGCCAGTCTTAGTGATAATGCATTTAGGCTTTGGAGCTTTAATCTTTAGTGGGAAGACAGAAGGCTGGACAGATTTTTCCAGTTCACACAATCCTAAGATTATAATATGAAGAAAGATTATAATATATACAAGGACTTTAATACAAACAGTGGTTAAGTAGTGGAGTGATGGGGAGGGAATCTTGAATTTTGGTAATATCTGAAGTACCTCCCACAACAAAATTTTCCAAAATGCCTTACCTGCAAAGGTATTAAGATAGTAGTTTTTTACCGCATAGTAGTCAGAATTCCTGTCTGGGAAAAAACCAATTCGAGACAAAGGAGCGTATGTTTGTGATGAAAAGTCATTATACTCTCTGATGATATCTCGCCTCTCCAGCTTTCCCATCCAATTCTTCCTCTTAGCTATCAGTTTCCTGAGCACTGAAAAGGAAATACAAATGTGAGACAGATCACACAAATAGTTCTATAAAAGCTGTATCTCTTTAAGTTCACAAGATAAAATAAAAACATGACAGACCAGATGCTGGCCATGCACATTGATACTGTGGATGCAATATATTTCGTTTTGAATAGATGGTAACCTTGGGAAAATAAAATGGCTTGTCTGAAAACTCTCATACCACTCCCTTCCTGTCTTTCAGACTTACTCAATGCACAGTCATGCTGAATCTTTCTTATTTTCTCTTCTTTAGCCTTCTGATGATTTTGCCAGTGGTTGTTCAAGCGCATGGCATTCACCTCATTCTGATTCTCCTCTCGCCTCTGCAGCAGCTTCTTAAAGACTTCCATTTGAACCTTCTGCAACCTGCAAGGAAAGAAAAGGTCAGACAGTATTGCGTGTACTCTGCAGTGTTCTGTGCAATGCTGTCACCATCAAATCCTGCATAGCTTTCCAAATAGTTCATATTGCATATCTCATATTCAATCTTTCATTTTAAAAAGGGAGTTAAGCATTGGTAAAATGTATTGTGGTAGCAGACCTGGAGGCTAAATTTAAGAAAAACACCCCTTCCCAAAATCAGGGTATTTTCACAGAAATAGAAGGCTTGTTGTACCCTTCAGCCAATTCCCTAAACCTTCTTGCTCCTCCTCTATTCAGCCAATAATTAAAAGAAATAAAACAGTATAATAGGACTCCTACTTATCTATTTCCTCTTCTCTATAGGCCCACTCCTTCCTTTCCATAGCCTCCATCATCTTCAACCTCTTTGCAACATTTGAGGGACTGTCCATGGGTGGCAGAGCTGCTTCCCAAGCACGTTTTTCCCGGATGCGATCAATAATCTCCATCTCAGCTTGTCCTGCTGGCAGCCCCCGACCTTACAGGGACAAGAAGCATTAGCTTTTTGGAAGATTGGCAAATCCTACAAATAGCCACTGCCAAAAAGTATGAGAGGGCTAGATGGGTACAGGCCCATGTGGTAAACACAAGCAGAACTGTCAAAAGCCAGAAGTAAATACTTCTAAGACCAGGGAGATTCTACAATATGAGGCATGGTAGGACCTGCAGTTGCTACAGTTTAGTGCACGCTAACACTGGCACTTCATTCTGCTATTCTGCTACTGCAAAGGGAGAGGGAGAAAAGCTTTTTCTAGGAAGACACTTTCTGAGAATGAGCACTTTCTTTGGCATGTGCAGTGTGCATCATTGTTACAGGTGAGACACTGGGAGATGAGGATCACAGGTATGTTCCAGGGCAGCAGTCTTCATACTGTTTGTTTTAAATAATGTTCAAAACTCAGAGCAACTGAAGAACAGTGGGTAAATGGAAAAACTGCTCCTAGTTCACATTTTTGAAACATGACCTTTTTATATTGAATGGTCCTCAAAACCCTTCATATAATGCCCCAGAACAGCACCATTAAGTAGGGAAATATCATACTTACTTTAGAAACAGATAAAATAATTGCCTCAAATGCACACGAAGAAAGACCGCCAAAGCTGGCAATAGACTTAAAACCCGACATTGAAAAGAAAAGAACTTCCTGCTAAAGAGGAAACAAGATTAGTATAATTTATCTTAATTTCACTACTCACCCCAAGTGAGTGTAGCAAGTGTCAGAATTTCAGGGACTGAGCCACTGCGAACTATATATTCAGGAGAATAGGGATCTGTCTGTGCTTCACCATCCCTGTAATCTGTCTGTGTCCCCAGAGTTCGGAACATGAGGCCGAAGACCTGGCTGTCTCTTGCATCTGACAGCACACGCGGCTTTGTCCTAAAAAGAGATGCAAGATGGAAGATTGATCACATTCATTAAAAAAACCTCCATGCAAACAAAGCAGGAACACGTCAGTCAAAGGTGAGAGTGTTAAATGTGTTTCAGTTTACCTTAACATTACTCCCATTGATGTTAACTCCATTATCTTTGGTAAAAGCACATGGAGGCTACACTGAGTCTGAAATACACTCCTTAAGTAAATAATCCACAAATCTTCTAGTTTCAACTCTCGTGATTATTACATACAAACCTTCCCTACCTATCCATTCTAAAGCATTGCATTTAATCAACACAAAATTGTTAAAGTACCATGAAGTAGGACTGCTTCAATTTTATTTACATGTTTCTCTTTCCAACAATTCCAGAATAAAAATTTAATTCTGATATAACCACGTGCAATTTCCATTGACTCCACTAGGAAGTGAATTTTATTATCTGACTTCAAAATGTGATACTCTCTGAAGAAACTACATTAGACTGCATTACTTAAACTCTACATCTCTGAGTAGCACTGCATCACAGTGATTGTAATAAAATATCAGAAGATTTTCCAACAATATTGCTCTACTAGAGATTCTTCTTCTAGAATTCAGACACATCTATCTTTCTGTTTCAAGCTTCACAGTCTTAACACACTAGAGGCATATCCCTTAGTCACAAAGCACTACTTATATACTGCAAGCAAATTCTGAAACAGTCCATCATCTATTTCCTCTGGAATTCTTAATGATGAGAGCAGCACCTCACCTCTTAACAAGCTTTTCCTGTTGGTTCATTATGAAAAATAGTGGTCACCAAGCTGGTGACCAAATAGTTGCCTGGTTTTTTTCTGGTGAGATGTTACCCATTTCAACAGTAATTTTCCAAAAGTCACTACTTACTCTGTCTTTTTATCAGCAACAGCTTCTGGAACACTTGCTGAAGGTAGCTTAGAAGAGCTGAGAGGTGTGAAGAGAGAGAATGAAAGTCAGACAACAAGGATGAGCCTAAAAGATCATTATGGTTCAGAAAAACTGCAGTCCACTAAATTCAGTGGAGTTAATACTGATTATCCATAACTGTGGTTCTGTTAGTTCCATGTTTAAGAATTATGCCTAAATATTAAATAACTCTTTCATAGCTAAGGAGGAACAGAGGAAGTTTCACCAGTAAACACCAGGACTAAGTGTTATTCTTATGAATAAGTCAAAGGAGAAAGTGGAGTTGCAAAACAAGACATTACTAAAGTTATTTTTGAGTGTGTTCCCAATATTTTGTGTATGTTTCACCAATTAGCTTAATTTTTTCACTTAACTTCCACTTTTTCAAAAGAGTAGTGGGTTTTTTAATAATTGCTTGAAGTCCTGAAATTCATTCCTACAATCAGCTGATAAGCTCATTTGGACTTATCTAATTTTATTGTTTCCTTTTCTGCAATACTTTATGAGGTATCTTGAAAGTGATTTGGGCTCAACTACATATTAATAATTCCTTCCAAGGCATTCTTATAGTTTGCATATTGCAGCTCTCTATTTCCCTTAGCCTTTGGGAGACTTTGAAGCTTAATTTCATATTGCAGAAGATAACCTCATCTTTGTTCTTTAAAAACTGTTGATGAAAAACCATAATAGACTTCAACTTATTAAACTTAGCAATTTTTTTATATTTAAAGTGGATACATTGGCCGATAGCTGCTGAGTAAAATAGTGAATGCAATTCAAAGTGTATGTGACTAAGTCAAGAATATTTATATGGTAGCTGTTGGTTCAGACCTTGAGTTCATTGCTGACCTGCAGTGTCTTTGTGGAAGGAGCAGAGCAGTCCTACAGTAAGGGATATGGATGAGAAGTTAATCAAAGCTTCCCTTTGTTCCCTTTCTGCTCCTGGCAGAAACTGGGAGTTAAAAGGCTCCTTCTTAAGAAAAAAACCTTTCTAGAGGTCTGGAGAACCACATTGGCTTTGTAAATATCTTCTTCCTTTGCACGAGATGATCTACAGCCCAAAGCTTTCTTATTAAATACAGAATGTCTGATATGTTTGCTTATATGGTAACTCAAAACTGAAAATTCTGTCATAGTGTGAATTTAGAAAGACCTTGTGTTTTAAGACCTGGTTACTATTAAAATTTTCTATTTTATCAAAATGCTGACAGAAAATACAGAAAAAATAATGCTCTGGCCTTTACTTAGGTGCTCTTGAAAATGCACAGAAAGAAGCTGAACCCTTTTTCAAATCAATTCATTCCTTACCGTGCAAAGTATTTGTAGCGATTCCTTCCATCAACTTCAGGATCCTCATATACAACCTGAGGCATCTGAAGAGAAGACTGACCTCTGAAAGCCAAAATACAGGATATCATTTAGGAAGTACATTCAGAGCAGTTATCTTTATTTCCTATGCCTTTTTTTTTTTCTCTCTATCCCCTCTGGTTGCATTATCCAACATGCACACTACAAACTCCCCCCAAATCTCACACTTATACAAGCAATTATATTTTTGTTTTTTCACATTTACCTATGCAGCAAAACAGTTTGACACTTTATGTTTATTTCCCACTACATGTGGTCAAGAAATGGTCTTTGCTGTGTTTATTAAAACTTTCTTATGAGCTTGTTATGAAAAGCATTAACCACTTGTACATGCTTCACTTTATAAAGGAAACCACTTTTATTGGAAACGGGGGGAGCAAGCTTATTTTAAGAGTGAAAGTTTCCAAATATGTGTAAAGGCGCAGAATGAGCAAAGGAGAAGATATTTTCTACCTCTGAAAAGCAGGTAAAGAGATTTTGAGAAAATGTTTAAACATATAGAATCAGAAATTTCAATTTGAGTTCTCCAGTAAAGGAGAAAAATTAGGACAATCACGGGAATGTTTCAAAATCTATACTGGAACAACCATATCTTTTGCAAGAACACTTCTCTTCTTTTACCCCCATTTTGAATTTTAATTAGGTAGACTGTTTAAATTTTTCACTCCAGCATCTTGAAGAGTCTTCTTTAAGGCTTTGGAAGATCATGTTGAAAACCTCATTAAGGCAGTCAGTGAGATAATGGGTAAAACTGAGAAATTTGGAAGTTATTAATCAGTATTGCTCTTTGATTTCACAATTGCTTTTTAGATTACTTACTCATCTAAACATGCACATTTGTTAAAGAAAAAATAGAAGTTATTTCCAGAGAAGTTGTGGATGCCCCTTCTCTGGAAGTGTTTGAGACCAGGTTGGATGGAACTCTGAGTGAAAGGTATCCATACCCATGGGAAGGGGATTGGAACTACATGATCTTTAAGGTCCCTTCCACTCCAGGCCATTCTATGATGATTTTATTTCTTTGAGCTACATATAAGGCAACTCCTGAAGGCCAGGTTTTCTGTAAGACCATTTTTGGCAACTTGTACGAATTCTGACCTCAAGATGTATGGGCTTGTGGGTACTAGGGCTGGTTGCTGATGCTTGATTTTAATTACAAAGGTATATTTACAGAGACACAATTAACAATACTTAACATTGCTCGACGCTGAGATCAAAACAGAGGATTACATGCTGAGACCAGTTGTCTTCCAAGCCCTCATCTAATTCCTGCAAACTGTGCTGTGGAATCTGGGAAGGCACAGAATGGATATCTACCACAGGAAAGCTTTGAGCGAGACGCTTCATTAACCTCCCGTGACACACAATTTACTGCCAAGGTAAGTTTAAAGTCATGTCTTCCCAAGGCTTTCAGTCACATCACATAAGAAAAGAGAAGGGAATATTTTGAGATGCAATGTCGTAACCTGATATACTTGCTCAGCACTAATCAACCTATTATTGTGAAGCTGTGTTTGTAATTCAAATGAGTTAATTGATCTGATGGCTAGTTCCATTAGCTGACTCTTTACATATCAGACTGTTGCTCCATCCAGATGGATTTGTGTTTCATTCAGCACAGGTGGGCACTTATTCTTATGATCTAACTTTATTAGCATAAACCGTTCATCCTGTTATGGTATAGTTATAGGCACAATGGGAACCCAGGGAAATAGCCCTTTTTATTCCACAGATCCTGCCTCTCGCATGTCCTTGACTTATAGTTGCTGACTTTGCTGAAATAAATGAACATTTATTCCTAGTAACCTTGCAGAGGCAATGCAAATACTGAGAAGACAGCTGGGAAATATTCTGTCTTCCGTATCAGCAGCACTGTCAATCAGTGCAGGTTGAAATAGAAGGGATGTATTTCTCATTTTTTGTTAATTGCAAGACATTTTGCAAATACATGTTGTTGAAATGTAAATTAACTTTAAAGCAGTGCAGGTGTTGTTACAGAATTGCAGGCAATATGTAAGAAGCCACTGAGGTGTTCATGCACTGGGGACAATTTGAAACACTGAAAATAGTATTAAGAAAAAAAATACTCAATTTTTTTTTTAAATTGTGGAAATGAGAATATACCTTTCAAATGTGAAATCCACTGTATCACTCTTGAGCATCTTTGATTCTTGTCTGGCATGTGCCAGCAACCCCAGAGCATGCACCACCTGAAAAGCCCTAAAGTCTGTTGCTTAAAGCAGAAAGAACCTTTGAAGACAAAAACCTAGGCTGCTGCCCACAGTCTTGAATACAACAGGACTTAAAACAACCTGTGGCATGGCAAAACACATGAACTTTTTTCAAAATATCTGCTGAATCAGAATCCACATTGTGACACCAGAAGAAAGCTCAACTAAGAAACCCCTGCACTAAAAATGTGGTGCCCTGGTTCAGGCCCCAAGGACCCTGGAAGGAGCAGCAGCAAAAGCAACCTAACCAGATGCAATTGCACGGGACTAAAATCAAAGAGCTCCCACTGAAGTAACACACATGAGTCACTGAAGTCTTCATAACTCATCTGATCTGTAAGAGATTGAAATAACTCTCTTCTTTTTCATGGTAACCACTGCGAAGCAGATAGCACAGGGATGAAGGAATGTGCAACATCCACCCTGTAAGAAACAGATGGGTAACCATACTCCACAACAGCTGCAATCTCTTAATTTCAAGGGAAATATAAGTAGGAGCAAATTGCAGTCATCTCCACTTCAGCGTGCATGGCTTTTGTTGGTTTTGTTCGTATGTTCATTTTAAATTGTCCAACCATAGAACACTTACACAGCAAGCTGCTGAAGAGCCTCCAGGCGCTGCTGAGCCCTCCATCTTTGACCAATATATGCAGGCACTGGATCTTCACCCTTGAAACACAAACTGCAGGCTGGAAAATGAATGAGTCCAGTAGCCATACTTCAGAATATCGGTGCCTTCACCTAGCATTTGTGTAGACACAAAGAAGAGAGGCTGTAATTTAGCCACTTCAAACAGCATTAAAGAGAGCAGAATTCCAGCCTGCTGTGATTTACAGGACTGCACATTTGGGATGGGGGAACAAGGCAGCATAGGTATGCTAATGATGTCAGCTAGTTAGATGGTACTTCTCAAGATGTGGAGCATACCAGACTAGCAGCAGATGCACAGATTTGTCTTCTGGCTGTTTTCCAGTGCTAAACTTATACTGAAAACCAAAAGGTCTAACAGTTTGTTACATAAAGAAGTTAGTGTGCAGTAACTGTGAATGTGCAGCAATGTGAACTTCTAGCACATTACCCCATGTAACTCCTTCCTATTTCTAGTGCTGTAGAAATTAAGTAACAGATTCCACTTGCAGGGTAAAGTCACATTATTTTATACTGGAACAATTTTAGCATTTGTTAAAAATAACTCAAAGGGAGCTAGCATTAAACATCTACACCCTTCCTTTTAAGGACTAATTTCCCTGGGTAGATATGCCTTAAATTGCTAAATTTATGGTTGCCAATAAATCTTTGCAATCATAAGTGATGAAGCTCTACTGCCTTGAGCTTCTGTAAAAGACTAAAATCAGAATTGAGTTGTGAATTGCCCCTTTGATTTCAGCAGGTCCTAACTCAAATGCATGCATGTGACATTTCAAGAATACTCACCAGAATGTAAGACAGTGTCAGCTGATGAAAATCTAGGCATCCTACCATGAGTAGCTGCTTGCTGTACACGAAATTGCATTTTTGTTCAGTTTCTCTTCAAAAGTTCAACTTTTGAGTGTTTGGAATATCCTATGAACTAATAGTATCACAACCTCTGTCCATCCTAAATTGTGAAGCTACAGATTAAGAATTCAAGGATGTAGGATGTTGAACTGCGCATTATACACCTGCTGATTGATTCTAAAACATGTTTTATGCAAGAGTATGCCACCACACCCATCTGCACCATTACTCCTGTGACATGGCAACTTTAGTGACAGGTTGCCTGTTTACTTCATCTGGCCTGAACTGTTACCACAGCCATATTGTTGCAAGGATCTCACTGATTACAGGCAATATTCTCTGTCTCTCTACTGACAGGCAGACAAATACTTTTTTGTTTTCATGTAGATATAAGAAATATTCTGAGATAATGCAGTAAGAGATATCCAGCAACATTATTCACAAAAAATGCTCCTTGACTCCATTGTTGGAAAGCTGCTCAGGGCTTTCCTCCTTGCTGTACAGAAATGAAGTCTGAGTTCAGAATATCTGTCTTGCAGCCTCTGTCACATGCCTCGCTTCACGAGGACTCTAAAATCCAATTCATTGTGCAGTTGCACCAAGTCTGTTTTCCTCTGGTACTCTACCTGAATGCATCCGGTGCAGCTATTAATCACTGCTGTCTCAAGGTGTGACTGCAACCCCCACAGACAAGCCCTAGCTGGTTTTAAACTAGCTAAGGGGAATACTGACAGCAGGGGAGCAAATGCAGAAGGAAGCTAAGCATGGGCTAGATAGGCAAGCATTAGCGAGGAAGTTAAACTCTGGTAATTCTGTATGAAGAATCAGCATAGATTTGCAGTCTTTACTGACTGCTTAGATGTTGCTAGGTATTTCATTTTAGTCTATGTAGGCTACATCAATCTGTAGTGTAAATCTCTCCCAAGGTAAGTAAGGAACTGTGTGAAATGACAGCTCTGCTTGAACAACAGCCCAGCAGATGCCCACTTATTTTATTAGATCTAAGTAACATATACAAGCTATAATTACCAGCATTCAAAGGCAGTCTATTAAAAATACTGACACACAGCTTAGGAAATTACTCTAAAAATGAAGCTGGGTATTTCTAGGCTGCTGTTACAGTCACTACAGGCCAGCAGTCATGGCTACTCCCTGTGTTGTCTTGTTTTAGATAAAGCTTCTTTCTTTTCTTTTTATTTTGCTGTTTTTAGGGAGTAGCCTAGGACTGAGATGGAGTTTCTACCCATGCATATGCAGAAAAAGACAAGGTCAACATGTGAGCTGACTTTAGCCAATACCTACCAGTCTATCACCAAGTTGAGCGTGAACATTTGACTTTGGAGGGTCCTTCTTACTTCACCATGTGTACAGAGGGTCTGAAAGACAAGTGAACAAGCAGAACTACTTGCATATTTGAGGAATCAGCACAAATAATCAGGCTCCACTTCCCTCTTTAAAAGTCTGTCTATAAGACAGTATAAAACAAACTAAAAAGAAAGAACTGAAATATATGTCTCTGTATCAAACAGATGTCACCATCATGCAAATGAGCCTCAGAGCTGAAATCCTGTTCTGTGGAAGATACAGGTGAAAAATCTAGTAGAAAAATCTGCTTTCTTTGGAGGCACCATCAACTTGAACAGAAAATGCGACGACATGAAACATTAAAAGGCAGGCATAGTGCAACGGTAATCAGTGGAAATACCATACTCTACACGATGCTTCCCTCTGGGACACAGGGCTGGCTTTGCTCCAGCTAATGTTTCATGGTCCCAGCCTCGCTGGAGCCGCCAGCCCTAATGCTTGCCCGCTGCTCGGGTGGCACCCACCTCATGCCAAGCTTGGCGATGGCACGGGGGCCCTGGGGCGGGGGTCCCAGGGGGGGGGGTCCGTGGGGCAGGGGGTGTCTGGGGGGGGGGGTGTCTGAGGCAGGGGGTGTCTGAGGAAGGGGGTCCCTGGGGCAGGGGGTGTCTGAGGAAGGGGGTGTCTGAGGAAGGGGGTCCCTGGGGCAGGGGGTGTCTGAGGAAGGGGGTCCCGGGGTCCGGGGTCCCTGGGCCGGGGTCCCTGGGGCGGGGTGTCCCGGGGTCCGGGGTCCCTGGGCCGGGGTCCCTGGGGCGGGGTGTCCC